CATTAATAACGACTGCATTCCATTTAGTTGAGCCAGTACCAAGGTCCTGATATTGGGCATACTGGCTCACTGACTCGACTTACTGGGACACCTAATGGAGCTGAGCCTTCCTTACCAAAATTAGTTTCACCTGTGCTTTTCCTGCTATGACACGTCACAATTTCTGCCATGAAAAATGTCTATTAGCAGTTTTTAAAATAGATTTTTAATGATAAAACCTGTAAACATTTAGTATGGGCCTAAAGTGCCAGCACAGATTGTGTCATTGTATTCCTGGACCAAATAATTCTATCATTTTGCTGCATGAAACCAACAGTCCAGTGTGATGGAAATATTCAGGTGTGGGGATGTTTTGGCTCGTCTGAAGCTCACACATCACTAGAGTTTATTCCACACACTGATTTTGGCTGGAAGCTGCTTTAAACACTGTGTTTGAAAGTTTCAATCATTTTTCAGTCTCATCTTCATGTAGTCCAACAACAACAACGTTCTGTGTTCATACATCATGGCAGTGATGTTAAGTTATAACACAAACTACAGTTGAAAGCTAGTATAACATTCCTTAATAACACCAAACATAGTGTGAGCGCAGGTGGCCAAATTGTTAAATTGAGTACTCATTAAAATATAACCCATTTACCATCATTTCTTGGTTTTAATGACTATACACAGCCGTAAAGTCACAAATCAATGTGGCAACTACAGCTGTGAGACCAATTTTGCCAGATTTGCCAGTGAAATGCTACTTTGTCTCTGTTTCCTTGTTATTTGTGGTGGTTGGTGGATAACAAAAATGGTGCATGGTAAGTCTTCCCACCTCTTTGCTCTTTATGACACCTGCTTCTCACCCCATCTTCAAGTTGAGCTTGGATTCTGGCAGTCTGATGTGGTCAGACAATGTGTCACACGACTACCTTGTTTAAAGCGAGTGAAAGGAGGATCTTTGACAGTTTAGGATTTCTTCCATACTGTCACCAGTGGGTGTGAGTAAGCTAGTTGTCAGTCAGAAGTCCATTGGCCTTGTTTGCTTCTACTGGCTTGCCGTCATAGGGAAATCCATTGTTATGGAACACTGAACAAGCTAAGTGGACGCAGCACACTTATTTAAACGGTATCTGACTGAATGGAGTTGATACATGGTAGTGTTGTTTACAGTCCTCTCAGTGTGTCAGTAGGGACTTTGGTTTATCAGCAAAGCAAAAGTGTTGTATAGTCTATGTGACACATACTTGCGTGACATGATGACTGAAATTAATTTGTTGGATTTAGTTTTGGCAGATAGGAAGGAAGACATACTGAATGACTAAAAATATAGAGTAAAACACACTGTATCATGTGGATGACAGTTAGGCTGTGATTAAAGTTGTGTTGCATGGCAACTTCTGAGACCCCACAAGGTCACACCTTACAACACAAAGACCCTTGACCTGAGCTAAAAGGTTTAAGTGTGTCTGTGTGACTATCCTCACAACACAGAACACATCAACCAAACACTAACACTGGCTACTGACAAGCCCCCAGTCCCTCAATACATCCAACGTCCACCACATCAATTTTTCATGAATATCCCTTTGTGATGTTGCTTACATGAAAGACAAATCAAGATTTTGACAGCAACCTTTTCAACTTTCAAATAAAACTTTTTTGATGCTGTTTTTTTCAGCTATTCTCCTCTACTTCAACTTCACCTAGTGTTTTCCAATATGTCCGAGAGCTACTTTCAACAACCTCCAGAGATACGAGGTGAAAATGTTGCTGAGGGCTATCTGACCTACATTTATGGTGGACAGTGATCGCAATAGTGGTGCATACCAAAAAGCATAAGAACTAGAATCATTCCATTTGAGAAAAGCCTTTCTTTGTGCTGCATTGCACTATGATGTATTGAGGAGACTATCTGTTGAGACATCGGTATATCTGCCGTTTTGCAATCGATTTCCTTGAATGTGATTGTTGAATGTCAATGCAAACAGAATCTGGAATGAAGCTTTGACTCCAAGGGACTGACACCAAGATTTGACTGTGGTGGGGGAGGACATGTTTTGAGCGCCGGCTGGAGGGAGACAGGAAACACGGTTCCCTCCTGCTGTGCCAGCAGGTGCACCTGTCCAGAAGTGGGCTGATTGGCCTGGACAGGGACACAACAAGCCTGCTTGCTGACAATGTACCATGGGTAGGCGTGTTTAAGCACTAGTTAAAGGTACAAAGGTTTTTTTTAATTTACCTGTCATACAGGTTGAGCACACCTGTCCAAAGTCAGGTTCAATGCAATTTGACAATTTAAGCACGTTCACTTACTGACACACAGAGAAAGACATGTCTATGAACTACATGCAGCGACTAAAAGCGTCCAGTACATTTGTGGTATGAAAGGAAATGTGCTTTTTTGTGTGTGTAACAGTGTCCCATTGTATCTCTATGCCAAAAAAAGCCACTGATGTTTATTGTTGATGTTCTAGATATGAGAAACCTATAATATGGAACTTTATAGTTCAAAAGTCCTTTAAAGCTACAAATATGATGACATATTGCCACATCATCTACAGTATGTGGGTCAGATAGTCATGAAAATAATAAAATACACAACAAAACTACAAAATTGGCACTATAAAACAAGTCTGATTACAGTAATTCAAGTGATTTAAGGTGCATTTTCCTTCAACATTGGACTGTTTTTACTGATTCATCCACTTATCGAACATCTCTTTAGGGGAGCTCATATCCTGCCAAGAGCAGGCAGACAAGGCAGAACCATACAAGTGTTTGACCTCAAAGAATTTCTGCTCCTCTCCAGGTATCTGTAAGGTTCTGCTCCCTCTAGTTAGAAAAGTCCCCAAAAAGAAAAATCAGTAAAAGTTATATACATTACACCCAACCCAGTGTGTGATTCTCTAATTTACCTTCATATGTTCCAATCTCCAACAGGGTCCCACTCTTCTCTAACTCCAGGAAGTCTTCCACTGAGAGGAAGTTGTAGTCCACGCCAGGAACTTCTCCCTCTCGTGGGGTGCGGGTTGTACCTGGACAACCAATCAGAGACAGGGTAGGAGTTAGCAAACAAGAATGACAAGGAATACAGTTGAAGTATTACATCAGCAGCTGCTGTGTAATAATGCACTGGAAGAATCTCTTTCATTGTACTAACTCAAGTTTAGGGTGTAACATCTAAAAACTGGTTTAGCAGCCATTTATCCTTACCTACCTATACTTCCCAAATGTTCAGTGTAAATCAGAGAGGGCATGAATGGTGTCTAGTGTGATACAATTCACATTTGTAACGCTGGTAGATGAAAATAAATAACGTGATAGAAGTCTCCATTGTTTGCTAGGCTCTTCCTTCACACTGGGGTAAAGTGTGAGGTGTCGTAGTAGCACCTTAGTGGGATCCTGCCATATGTGCGGGGGAAATGGGAGTGGGAGTGTGTGTGTGTGTGTGGTTTGGCATGTAGCCTGTGAGATTCTAGCACTTGTCTTTAATGACTGCTGACAGTTGGCTAGCGTGGCGTCAATGGTAAACAGCTTTACAGCAGCTACAATAGTGACATGACAACAAATCTACAATAAACACTGCAAATGTAACTGACAAATTATTCATTAAATATCTATTTTTCCTTTAAACATTCTACTTGCTTCGCTCTGCTCAGTCAGTCTTCACCTCGCCAGTGCACATTCCTACACTACTGAGCGACTGTCGCTCTCTTGTTGGGTGCATTTACTGTATCCTACTACAAAAAGTCAGTGGCTTAGAAAGAAGGTATAAATTGAGGCAAATAATCTTTCTCATCTTGCTTGTTCTGACAGACATCACTTTGCCAACAGAGGGCTTTCCCTTTTTGCTACCTTCCTTCTCTTCCATCTCTTGATCTGTCTGTCTTATCTCCCAATCACTCTGTCTCCAGTGGGTTGGTAAGCAATAAGCTGGTAAAAATAGATGTGTGGGGATACGGGGAGAGGCTCCCACTGCAGCCACATTCAGTGACACCCGTGATAAATCACAGATGTGCGGATTCCAGCAAGCATGCATTACACTCACGCAAGCATGTAAAAAGGCATGCATGTTGCAATGTTTGAAGGGACGGAATCTCTCTCAGAAAATAGTTCGATCACCCAGGTGTCACTATCACAGTCTGTTCTTTTATGTTATCTCTGTTATAGGCTGCTATACCAGGGCACACCCAGTGATGGTAAATCTTTCTTTTCATTCATACTTTAGTGCTTCCAAACGTCACTATTTGTGACCAGACACTCGTGCAGCTAGAGGAAATTGATTTAAAGTCAAACAAATCCCCTCTGAAGTCTATCAAACAAATAGTCAGTTCGCTCATTCCGAGGAACCAAGTCTTTTACAGAATGTCGACCTTGGAGAGTCCTCAGCCGAGCCCGAGCGTTCAGCCGACTGTCAGTTCACTTTCCGCACAAAAGTGGCCATTGATTCGACTCCATTTAGACACTGCTGCTCTTAGAAAACCAAATAGGAAGTGGAATTGTGACCAGTGTTTCAAAAGGGATAGAAAAGCAGAGCCTTGGCTTTGACCCAGGGGTAAGACACTGTCATTGCTATAGGCCTGATTCATTCAATACCCCCACCCACAAAAGCTCCATTGACCAAGCTGTGAAATAGAGTGGGAAGGAAAGACAGGTTGGGAAAAGTTGTGCATAGAGACTCTTCCCTAGAGTTGGGATTAGATGAGCCAAACAACAACTATTCTGGATGCCAGAAATGAAGAAGAAGAAGAGGAAGAAGAAGAGAAGGAGAGCGACTACCAAAGATAAGGGTTAGCATAATCCAATGACTGGCACATACAGTGAAGCCTCTAAAATTTGCTGTGAGGGTGTTCGTCTAGTGCTGGATGGCTTAACGGCTTCAACATCTTCCCCAGCTGAGATGGGTGGGTGGGCGTCGTAAGAAAAAAAAAAACACTCATCATTAGCATTTCAAGAAGATGATCAAGGAAACAAGCGTTGAGATACTGGCGATCGTACTGTAGTGCAGGGAGCTTGGAGCCACCACTGCTGCATCAAAACACATGCACGCACGACCAAAATAAAAACTGTAAATTTACTATAGCCTGTAAATTTATAGCACACCACAATAAAAGATCCAGGAGCGTATGTTCTTCAAAAAAAAAAGAAAAAAGAAAATCAAAGTAATTTCTGTGTCTTCATGCTTCATGCGACTGGGTCTCTGCTGTTGCTAGGGACAACCCAGGAAGGATAGGATAGAGTGAGAGATGTGGGGAAGCTATGTGGGGAAGTTTGTCCTCCAGTGATGACGCAGTCCTCTACTCAGTCTCCTCTGGCTTCACAGCTCCCTTTACAATACCAAGATTAGACCAACAATTAAATATCGCAGAGGTCTCAAAGGTCTGGGCCACATGAGAAAGCATAAATGATATACATGTAGTATGTTAATTTGGCATATTTGAATACTCATATACAACAGCGGTGAGGCAGCAGCTGTTCCAGTGTAACTATGGCTACAGACTAGAATGCTGTTGGGTTAAACCCTCAAAACACCAGGAAATTATCTGCTTGGGAAAAGAGACTTGAACACTAGTGCTATATGTAAAATCTGTATTCATACTGTGTCTAAGGGTCGACTACATGAGTATGCAGCTGGGTGTTGCTGAAAATGAACGGATGAGGGCTAACTGCTTTGTGGGCAGTAAGATTTTTGCAGTTTCATGTTTGAACATGTGGATCTGCTCTACATAACCTTTGGTTCTGTCCCTTCCTCTCTCTGTCAGTCTTCTTTGTCTGTCCCTTCGCACAGAGGAGAGCGCAATGCTGAGCCACCTTCTCCCTCTGGCAATCCAGCAGAGGGTTGACTCAGATACCAACAGTCACAGAGGAGTCATACGGCTCATGTGTATGTGAATGCCAAACGTGCTTTGGCTTGTGATAGTACAAAAGGGGTTGGGAGGGAAACACCTCCTGTCATAATCAGCAGCTGTTCAACCCCCTGCTAGCCAGCACATACACATGTGTTTGTGCACACACACACACTGACAATGAGGGGGAGGTGCCTGACCACCAAATGGCATGGTCTGGGGCTAAACGGGAGATGTGGGTGGAGGGTAATCACTTAATGGAGCTTTATGCACCCATCTCCCCTGCAACACACACACACACACACACACACACACACAGTTTCATTACCATAACAGCCACAGTGGGAGAATTGTCCTGTCTATGCTGTGAACCACCTATGGTGACCGGATTAGACCCCCACAGTGAGGGGAGCAACTTTAGCACCTCTGCACTGCAGCTACAGTTACTCGCTAACTAACCATGTTGTACTGTAGTTTGGGCTAATTACATCACAGCCATACCACAAAAGTGAAACATGTTACCACTGCTACCTTCCTATCAACTGTATCTCCCTGTCATCTGAGAGTGTTGCTTATGGTTTAAGCTAAATGCAATTTGAAATAATTTAATAATAAAACACTCACTGCCTTTGATCTGTTCTCTAAATGTTCCTCATTGTTTGGTCTGACATTTAGATATTCAAGAATGAATGCGGTCAAAAATGAACATAACACACTGAGAGTAAGGGCACTTTAAGATTGGCCACAGCACCATGGCAAAATAATGCAAGGGACTGAATTTTTCAAGTAAAAAGACTTGAACGTGAACCAGGAAGTTCAGTTTGAAGGCTTATCAAACATCAAGACATGGGCAATTGCTTTATTCTCCTTTCATGCCAGATTTCCCATTTTAGCAAAGTTATCATGGCAACAATCATTTTCTCCTGTTTCAAAGTTTACCAGGCAAAATTAGCACAATGCTACAAGTATATGTGGTGTTCATACTGGATTAGAGTTCCAACAATTACATGAATCAACAGTAGTCATAATGCTTGGAGTGACTAGTCATGGACCACACAAAATTCAGTCTGTCCATCTCATCATCTCATCATAGGTAAATGGACCTATACAAGTACAGGTCCATTTACCATTAGATTCTTCAAGCTGTCTCTCCATCTGTTAGATCATTTTCCTTATACATTATCCTCACACACCTGAACAAGAGGATGTGAGGATGACCCATCCTGACCAAAGGCCACTGGATATTGGCACTTCTGATGTTGAAAGAGTCAGGGATATCAAGTGTCTCAGTGTGGACCTTACTAAAGATCTAACCTGGAACATAAATCCCATCCTCCTGGCTAACAAAGTCTAACGGCTCCACTTCTTGCAGCAACAAGACTCCAGACCCAAACCGTGTCTACATTCTACAGAGGCACCATTAAAAATGTGCTCAGACTCAATATGTGGTATGGGGCTTGCAATTTCTCAGACCTCAAGTCACTCCAGCAGCACATAAAGAGGACAACAGAAAACATCCTTCAGACTCTCTGCTCTCATTCAGGAGTTGCTGCATCCACAACGCTTTCTGCATTATCAAGGACCCTTCTCATCCATCCTACAATGTATCCACTCCTCTACCACCTGGTAGGAAGCTTAGTGAGAACAGTTAGACAGAGAAACAGCGTCTATCACCAGGCTGTTACGTGTCTGAACTCAATGACCTCCCAAAAAACAACGTTCCTAGCTAAAATGTCTAACCGGTCCCTTTCACACTGCCACTCCAATCCTCCTTGCTTTAAAGGAGAACTTTACATACATTTATAGAATATATTATATAATGTTATTAATATTTTATTTTTGGTTTTAGATACATATCATTTATAGATTTTGAACTGACTCATTTTAAATACCTCTATGCACAATAGCCTAAAAAAAAGTCTAGTTTTATCTAGTCGGGGCAGATATAGATGTGATGCATTACTGGGCAATAAAACAATAGCGATACTATATATATCGGCAACAGACACACATCAATAGCAATTAAGAAAAGTGTTCAATATATTATTAATGGTTTCACTTAAATGCATTAAATGCAAACTGTCATCTATAATGTCTACGCTGGGCATCATAAACAGCATCATAACACTTCATCATCATGATCATGGAGCGCGCTATGAGTCATTCACCACAGCCGCGTCCACCCTTTT